ATTCGTTAAAAAAGTTCCGATGGCCTTGAGAAATTTCAGTGGACATAATTGGTTTAATGTTGTTTTGTATATATTAGGTTATAATGTCATTGTAAATGTACACATACAATATAATATATTTACGACCGAGCCAAATGGAAATAGGAAAATTTGGCAACTTTCATACAAAACAAGAACTATAATATAGGTTAATATGACATAGATGGGTTATATAAAATTATTTTTTTATGAATGATTGCAACTAGCTGTTTATTGCCTACTGGTTAATTATTGTTCACGCCATGAGTTACGTTTTACGTCTAGACAAAATATACGAGTGTAGCGTAATATTATTTTATTTTTTCAGTAGTACTGTAATTCAAATCGATAAACCAAATCAATTACATCGTCATCGTAACTACAATCAATTTCGATATGGAGTGTACAATATTTAAAAGATTTACTAATTCATTTTTTTTATCTGAAGATGGTAGTTAATGTTATTTTTATACAATTAATTTAATAGTTGATATATAGAAATTTACGAAACAAGACTGTAATAATATATTATGTTAAATATTAAATCAAGTACCAATTTTCAGTTTGAATTGGTTTTTAACATAAAATATTAATTTGTTATTGATTTATTTTACATACTTCCAAAACTATTATATTATATATAATATGCATATTAATATATTATATTTTACAGTTAGACGACTCGCCCATCACAAGATTAGAACAATGAAAATAAGCGTTCAGTTAAAAATGTTCGCTAGATTTAACTAAAACAAAAAAAGAAAGAAAAAACGAGTTTTATTCATTGACCAACACACGAAGCCGTATAATATTGTTACCAGACACCGGTGGTACGAGACCGTAAGCCACCAGCTATCGGGTTTCGACTGTCGTCTTGCATTACCACGTGTTCCCACCCATCAACCCTGAGGAAATTGTACTCGCACGGTGAGTTTTAAGGACAGATATTTTAAAACAATAATAATACCCAAGAACATAATATGATTTTTATGAATCAAGCAGACGGAAACAAATGAATACTGTTATATTTTATGCAACGCCGCTGCTGCACGCCTTTTTCCCTCTACACGCGATAATAGGCATGGGTTAATATGGGCATCATAGAACTGTTTTGCGTATATAAGTCAAAGGATTCCAAGCAGACAAGCGCAGTATTCGCACGACTCTTCTTTTGGACATATCAAAGTGTGTGCCCTAGTACTATATAATTTATTAATGTATGGTCTACATATGAGAGCGGTGTACCTAATCGGATCGTTAAACGTCGGTGAATACTGGTTTCGTATTGGTGCATAGAAGTATTAATTTTGTAACTTGTCTAGCACCATTTGAAACCAGTACTTATCGACGGGATGTCTTCCAGAAGAACTTATTAAATTAGTGGAGGTATCTATTAAAATATATTATAATATTATGCATATAATTGTCATTTTTTTTTTGTATTCTTGTATACTGTCTTGTTTATTTTAATCATGGTGCAGTTAGAAATTAAGTTGTACATTTTTTGTTTATATCAATACAAAGTGAGCTTTATTTATTATTTTATATAACATATTATAATCAGAACAAAATATCTATAACACAATATTATTCTAAACATACCTATTGCTCATTTATTTGCACGTGTTTCTTCATTATATTCAATATGTCTCTGGAAAAAAACATTTTAACAATAATTATATTATGCTGTGTAATCTGTATTATGTTTGAACGAAATTAATTTTAAATAATAGTTATTCCTTATATTATAATTACCTATTTTTAATATTGTTAAGTTTTTATAAACATATTTAAATTTCCTCTTAGAAGTGTAAAATATTTATTAAGTATGACTTTTTCATTATACAGTATAATATATATTATATTATATATATTATTATTAATTTATATTATATATATATATTATTATTAATTTATATTATATATATATATTATATATAATACATTATATAGTATATCATTGTTTATTATTTTATCTATTTTTAACAATAAATTTAAAAAAAAAAATAATTTTTTAACCAATAGATTATGAAGATTCTTTCACTTTCAGGTAAACTTTTATATTTACAATCTTTAATTTTCTTTTTTACCTAATAGGTAAGTAAATGTTACTAACTTTTTTTTAAATAAAATTTTTAACTGGAATATTTTATAGTATTATAGACTATAGTACACAACAAAAAACATGAATATACACAAGGATAGAGGCCTGTCAGTTTGGGAACCATTATACTTTGAAGAGAAATTTTTAAATTTATTTTAAATTTATCAGATTTCTTGAACATATGTAAATAGGCAAAGTTTTTACAAAAAATGTTTCAAATTCTAGATTAAATTAAATTATTTCATATTGAAGTATATTTTGTTTACCATCCCTTTATTATTAATCTTGCAGATAAATAAATATAATTAGTTGGTTAAAAAGACATTAGCACTAAAAGTTAAAAGGTTCATAGTAAAATTGTTGTTTCGATATTTCAAATAAAATTATATACAATAATCCATTAAAACACAATTTTTATTTCAAAATGTATTTGTAACTTGTTTTTTAAAATAAAGTTAAGTAAAGTTATAAGGACTGAATTATTCGACTTTTGAAATAATAAAAGAATTTAATAGGTACCTATGTAAAATATTTCAAATTAAATAATCAATTCAGTTTAATTTTTCTAGAAAAATTTTAATTCATGCGAATATTTTGTTTACTAAAAAGAGATTTTATAACTGTAAGAAAAAATGATTGACTACATTTGAATTAACAACATCACTAAACATATCTATGATTTTAATCAAGCCTTGCCTAGAATAATTTTTTAACTATGATTATTAGTTAATTTTAACTTAATATCACAAATCCTATATCGAGGTGAGTGAAATATTAAGAATACCCAACAATATATTATGCTATCAACTTGTATCAATAAAAGTTTATGTTTGTTTAAATCAAATTTAAAAGTATTTATATCGATTAATTAATTTGATAGATTTAGAAAAATTTTCAAATTATTTTAATAATAATAATTAATAATAAATATTAAAATTTAATGCTAACTTTATTGAATATAAAACAATATATAATATAATATTACTGTATTGGTCATAAGCAAATATTGTGTTTATAACATAAATGTGACAATTTAAAACAAAAATAGGAAGTAGAAATTTGATCAAGACAACATTCTAATGTTGTAATGCGAAACTGAATATTATTCAGCAGCTTAGTGTTTACTTAAATCAAGTTCCCAAATAATGTTAATTGTTTTTTTAAGGACCAGATTTCATAATATTGTTTCAAACAATATAGTTTTATACACTCAGTTTTGTGTAACTGTTTAATTTCAGGAGGGTTAACATTTGGGGAGATTGCATTAAATTATAATTTTAATGATAAATTTATTATTTAATATAAATTTGTAGAATTTTTACCCTGATTTTCTAAATAAAGACTGTTAATCGGACAAATTCAAAAATATTTACTTAAATTTAATTGTTTCATATTCTCACATTACTACATTTTTCGGACAAGGATTACATAATCAAAGTGTAAATGTCATCACAAAAAAAAAAAATAATTTGCCTGAACTAATATAATACAATTATTGATCTATACTCTATAGCATTATAAAATAAATAATAAAGACTATATGGTAGTCATGTAGATTGGTTTTGAAAGTTCTTCAGTTTGTATTAAAAACACAATGTTGAATGTTTGAAAAACTAAATCATTTATCTGTCAACGAAAAAAGATATATTTTAAAGTTATCGATAATTTACTAAAATTTATTAAGAGAGTGATGTAAATTTTAAGCATATTTTTACAATGTTGAATGCCTCAATAAACATAAAACTAAGGAATTAAATTTGTATAAGAGACGTAAAAGAAAACAAGCAGCTAAATCTACAGCTATTGAAGAAAAACTAATGTCCTGGTAAGTAATACTATTTTCACAAATAAAGCATTACATTTAGCTACCTACTCAATTAGACATTAAAGATTTTAATCTAACTATAGATTGATTGACGTAACAGAAACTAAAAAATTCATTATATTAAAATTGGAAGGAGAAGACACTGATATAGTAATAGATGAACATGAGTTGAACCATTTTCACAAGATTTTCTTACTCATTCTGATAAAAATAACATTTTACGTTGAAAAACTGGGTTTATATTTTAGAATATGGCCAAATTTAATGTTTTACTTCAACATCACTAGCTTAGCGGTCACGTTTGTCAAATTAATTACAATCATCAGTATATAAATTAGTGGTTTACAACTGATGTGTCATGGCTGTCGTGGTGTGTCTCAAGCATTCTCTAGGACCTAGGTGTACTGCAAACTTCTGAATGTTTTTTTATTACAATTGAACTTAATAAAAATATAATACAATGACATTTAAATTAAAAACTACTAATATACCTATATAAAATAAAGTATGATTTTGTTTATCAAATTTGGTGTAAAAAAAAAATATAATGGCCTAAAAAAAAATAATGGTCTCTGATGAAGAAAATGTACATGGCTGAGACATGTGCTGTGAAAATATTGTGAAGACAACTGTGTTTAAAAAAAGAATGAAAACCACTGATATATTTTATTAGTTTGGAATACTAAGTGTCTTATAATATTATCCAACCTATGATATTTGATTATAGATAAAAATGTATAAAACCGTTAATAAAATAATAAAAATATTTACTTTGTAACATTTTAAAACTATTTGTTGTAGAAAAATTGCTAAGTACTAACGAAATGTATATTACTACATAAAACAAAAATAATAAAACTATGTAAGTGTAAATTGAAAAAATAAATAAAATACAAAAAGTATTGATACAATAATTTTATTAGTACCTAAACTCCTATTAATTTTATTATGAAACAAAAAGATAGTTATTAAACACTATATTTAATAGTCTATACCTACTCTAAATATAAATTATAATTACCTAAGCTAGGTATTAAATTATATTAATACCATTTAAGCACTGATAGTGCCTTCTTCTGCATTTGGTGCACCTCCTTGTCTCAATTGATGTCTTCTGTGTAATAATCGCTTTTCTCTTTCGTAGTCCTTCATGCGATCCAAATAACTAAAATTTGTTATTAAAAATGCTTAAATTACCTAGTTATGTTTAAACTGTCATTGGAATATATAAAAAAAATATAGGAAATTTTAAGTATATATAATCAGAATTTGGTAACAAAAGTAGTAGGGTCAGTAGGGATATCGTATAACTGCAATTAACACGTAGACTGCGTATGTCTTTTTGAAGTTTTCACCCAGTGCGTTTGATAAAAGTAAAAAAGAAAATAAAGAAACTGCTCTTAACGACGTATGTATACATATTTAAAAACATGCCTTTAATCCACGCTAAATAATAATAAAATAACATTCAGCCACGAGTAGAGAATTTTAAACCATTTATTTTAAATGTATATTAGACGCCATATGGCGTCAAACGCATTTCTGAATGATACCTACTTATGACGCCAATTGGTGTCAGTACGCAGTCAACGTATTAAAATCATACTATATTTATAAAGAAAATTGTTCATGAGCTATACAGTGTACTCTCGGTAAATTGAAGCTCATGGGGGGGAAAAAAAATTCGACTCACTAAAAATGTTATCAAAATCTTAATGTATTATTGTTATTTATTTGAGATATCGAGAATTTTGCGTTATCAAGATTCGAGTTACCGAGAGTACACTGTATATCCTATAAAATGCCAGAATAATTGGGAAAGTCAAACGTGTATCATATTTTATTTATTTATTTGATAGGCCTAGACTTTTAATATATATAATTATAAAGGCCAATGGCTCGATGAAGGAGTATAGGGCAAAGTAGAGAAATACATACTCCACAGTCCACACTAATCTTAGACTGTATATAGGTATGACTTACTCATGATACTGGCATTCATAATATTCTTCTCTTTCGTGGTGACAATGGTGGTTGAATGGGAAGTTATCTCTGATACAACCTCTTAAATTCAATAACATGTGTGTACAAAAATCTCTGGCGTCCAATGGAACTTTAGCTGATTCCATTTCCGCTAGTGAAGCGATCATTTCTAAAGGAGAATTCAATCCAATATTTAATAAATTGTTCGACGAAACTTAAGTCGTACGCGTGTGGTGATACATTACTTTTCTCTCGTCTTTCCGTGGAAAAACCAAAATGAGGTTCAAATTGAGATGGTTTGTCTCGCAACGGAGTCGTCTCCGGAGCGACATATTCTGACCATGTGTGTCCCATCACGGCAATATAGCAAAACGATGAACTACAAGGATGGTTCTATCTGGAAAATTGCATGTAAAATTGTAAAATTTATTATATGTATTCCGTAGACTGTAACTGCTGTAACTAGTGTAACTTTGAAGTAAAACGAATGTTAAAAAAATGGAATGATAAGAAATTATCTTTGATTAAAACCATGAAACAAAAAGCGTATCACAGCTGTTCAATAACCTTTTAATGGCCTGAAGCATAGATAATAGAAGAATCACAGAATTGATAATAGCCCACAGGCCACAGATATTTATTATTTATATTTTATACTATAAAAAAATACAAAAGAATTGTTTACGTTTTTATGCTTTTAAAACTAATTACCCATATAATCATACTGTTGAAATTGCGAACTCTAGGTATGCATCACTTAAAACAAGAAGATTAGTATATGATATCACGTTTATGTATAGATATTGTATAAAATCTTGAATGGTGTTATCGATTGCCATGAATTATTACAAAAATTGGCCTTAAAGTAGGTACCCTCTTTTAATTCAAGATTTAACCCGCCCTTTTCTATTCCTCATTCAAAAAATAATTACTTTACTAATAGTCCGGTGTGCCTCCTACCAACATCATGCAATTTAATTCATAATTTTGATTTTTTTTTCGGCTCCTGTACCAAGATAAAATCTTGTGTTTATAATTGTATTCAATTGTTAATTTAGCGATATTTTTAATTTAAACTTACTGTACGTACTTAATAATTAATATTATTTTTATTATTATTATTATTATTATTATTATTATTAATACAATATTGACAATATTGTGATGCATAACTATGTCGTATATAAAATTAATATTATACTGGCTAGTACCTACGACCTACCTACCTATTGTTTATTGTTGACGACTATTGTGCCTATAGTGCCCTATGGCCTATACACTGTTTAATCGAATAGAATAAGTTTATTTATATATTGTAATATTTCTACAGTAAATTGTTTTAATGATTGTATCTAAATAACCAATAAGTTCAAATTTAACTTTTTTGAAGTTTGATATTTATAGTGTTTAAAGTAAAGTAAAGCAAAGTAATGTTTTCAATTAATTGAATGATTTTTCCTTAACTGGACTTAAAATAGCTGCCAGCACAGTAACTATTACCGACTACCGTGCTAAGTTTCACGCGTGAAGTGATATTTCGTCAACCAATTAAGATGTGGCTGCAGGTCGTAGTTTAGATTACAGTAATTAAAATTAGTTATACAATTATTATAGGTGCACTTAGGATAGATTCGTGAACCCGATTTATTCAAAAACAGCTTTTAGTTAAATAATGGACTCGTATTTATATTATGTTTAAAATGTATACGAGACTAAATTTCTTTCAAAATTCAAATCCTAAGACCACCTATGGTTATCGTAGTAAATATTAGAACTCATATATTCTTCTTCTTCTCGAGTCTGGTTTTATAATATGCCAATAATAGTGCATTAGTGCTAATATTATACATACAATTTAATTTTTTATAAAAACACAAACATAATAAAAAAAAAAGAGAAAAAAAATTCATAATACCTACATACAAAACACAACTTAATAATAGAAAAAATAAATGAATACATTTGGTAACGAATTCGGTAAATCTAATACATAAAAATCGCATACCTATTTGGTAACGTACCTACTAATGTCCTAGATGTTGTATTTTTAATGTAATTTTGCTATATAAGAATAAGTCATTACTCATTAGTAGGGCCCGGATTTTTATGCAAATGCATATTCTTCTACATTTGACGTATAATAATTCTGATTAAATATCTTGACGTTTCGTAAAACGTAGATTCTACTGTTAATTTTTTATTTTGCATATTTTTGCATATTTGCATCAAAATGCATAATAATTGCATATTTCGGGGTAATTACATAAAATGTGCATATTTAATAAATACTTTATAAAATATTTTAAATTTTACTCAAAGTTTGATATATATGCCGATTTTGCCCGATTGCCGACGTTCCCGACAAATATAATTCATTATATTAAATTATTCAATGATTCAATGAGTATATATTATGGCCTGAAAAAGTATTGCATGACAAAGTGTTATTGTATGCCACAGACGCCGCTCTTAATATGGTAAAATCTGGACATGCGCTTAAGGTATTTTATCCTAAACTAATCCATATTACTTGTATGGCCCATGGGCTTCATAGATTATCAGAAGCTATTAGGGATGAATTCTCAAATGTTGATTTGTTGATATCTAACACAAAAAAAGTTTTTTTAAAAGCACCTAGTCGTGTAGGTACTTTTAAAGAAAAATGTCCAAACTTAAGTTTACCCCCACAACCTATTATTACTTTTATTACATTATTTTACAACTTATTATTAATTTTTCAATTTGATAATTTAAAAGCACATTTTGTTACATCATATTGGTATTCTTTCAATAATTAATACAAATTTTTATGCTTTATACACATTTTAAAAAATTATATTTAAATTGTATTTTTTTTCACTTAATACTAGGTATATTTTTAATTTTTGTATTTTTAAACAATACATTTTTTTGCATATTATTTGCATATTTTTGAATTTTTGAGTGCATATATATGTGCATATTTAACAAATATTTTTGCATAAAAATCCGGGCCCTACTCATTAGGTATAGGTATCTTGCATACCGGCATTGTCATGTTCATTGCATTTCCGCCGTACTCTTCTAAACATAGGCGTGCTCACGGGATGGGCCAGGTTAGCCGTGGCCCTACCCGCGAGCTGTAACATACTTATTATATAGATGGTAACTTAGATCATATACATAGTTGTATTGCCTTATTCTGTGGTATAAGAATTCTGATTTTTGATTTTTTTATACCAACAAAATTAACAAGATTCTCTTAAATCTATAAAATATGCAAACAAAAAATTGGTTCTATTTAATCGAGGGTAAGGTAAATCGCGGGCATATATCACAACCTATCAATTTGGACTTTGAATCACTTAAAAATGCATATAAATCCTTGCTCTACTTATGAATAAAAATATATAAACTATTATACCTTAAAATTTAAACAGTAGGTGATGACCGGTGAGTAAATGAAAGTAATTTTATAGATAACAGTGTTTAAAAAATGTTTTTTCAAGTATCATATTGGCCCACTCTGCCCCAACTGGCTGCGCACGCCTATGCTTCTAAATGGTTGATACCTGACGGAAGTCTGTAACTGCAGGACGTGGACGTTGAGTCACCTCATACACTTTTGAACTTGGGTACCTACATCGGTCTTGCATACTCATCCAGCACTCCTTGTATATCATTTATCGTGTTCTCGTGTGGATTAAAAACTTGATTGTTGTGTAGGTACTTGTGTGGAGATTCCCAGTTCGACTGTCTTATGTCATACGGATGGAAATCAATGTCTGTAAACTTTCAGACTTGTATACTTTGTAATCAATTTCTGTTGACGACTGTGCAAGTGTTAATAAATATTGGCTTAAAGTATAAAGATCAATAATTATAAACATGAGTTCACTGTGGAGGAATCGTGAATTGAATCTAAATAGGCGACTTAAGTACCGGGTGCGGTGTTGTAGTAGTTCTAGACAGCATTTTGTAATGATAATATTATACCTAATATTATTATAATAACTGTTAATCGTTAGACAGATAATGTGTTACCCCAACTAAAATCTGGTGGTTTCTGGTCCAGCATTCAACAAACTCTCTAACTGCTTTACTTTTCGGGGGGGTGACCAAATAAAATTTTGAAAATATTTATAACCACATGATAACGGCAGGTCAAGTTCTTCAAAAAACTTTCAAATTCATTCTGAGTGACAGACCGTGGTTTAGTTCCAACCGTTTGGTTCGCAACAAATTCGTGTATAACAAGGGCAACAATCTTTCTGAAATGGGTGCTCATAGTATCACAGCATACGGATATGTCGACGTATTATCGACGTATTGACAATACGTGCTCATAACTTGTAATGCGAGTCTAAAATGTTGACTGTGTGACAACAATATCGAATGCACACTTGCGTTGGTATATGCAATATAATATTATATACTATACAGGCATACAGATGCAGGGTATTATAATCTAGGCACTGAAGCAAAAAAATGTTTGGTGTACAATAATTTTTTTGAAAAACGATAATTATTTAAGTAGGTACTTTACAATAGTATTAGTTTGAGAGTCTGGCAACGCTGGCGCCGCCCGTTCGTACGCGCCGCCGTTACATTTCGTTTTTTCCTCACTATATATCCTGCGTAAAGAAGTTTCAATTCAAAACTAAAAAAAAAGGGTGCCCGGTAAAGTAGAAATATACCTCAATTTCTTTTCCCACCGGCAGACCTTGTCCGCGACTTGCATGACCCTCTTAATGTCATCTTTGGCTCTGCTCCTGGTCTCCGCACGCACTGACCGAGACATTATAATACAAACGACCGGTGGCGCTGCTGCGGGTAATGGAGGCGTCCGACCCAAAACGGCAAGTGCGATACACCTCCTGAATCGGGTGACACAGGACGGTCTGACAGGAAGGTGGCCCCCGAGAGACGAAAACGATTCGTTGCGACGAAAGGTACGGTGCCCGGTGCCGGATAACTCAGACTATACTCCGGCCCACGAGAGTCCATACGTAAACCCCTCGTCGATATAGTAATACGCGACATATGTTTTCTCCCACCATGATGTCATTCCCACTATTCGGCAACATGCAGATGCGCAGCGACGAACGCGTTTGGACATATGGACTCTCGAGGGCTGGAGTATAGGTAGTTTTATTTCTGTAGACTGTCCTGTCACCCGATTTGGGAGGTGCATCGCACTTGCCACCGCCACCGATCAATCACTTTAAGCCATCCGTCCGTCCGTCCTCTTAAGGTCGGAAGCCTCCATTACCCGCAGCAGCACCGACGGTCGTTTGTATTATGATGTCTCGGTCAGTGCGTGCGGATACCAGGAGCAGAGCTAAAGATGACATTAAGAGGGTCATGCAAGTCGTGGACGAGGTCCGCCGGTGGGAAAAGAAATGGGTAACCATCGGAGAGACTACCATGAGAATATATATGGCGTCCCGGCCCTCGAAACACACACACATACCCACTGAAGGGCAGTCATATAAATATTGAAGTCTTGAATCCATTAATTCCAGTTTTGGCATCACAATATTACCACACATTAAAGAATTCAAACTAAAATGTAAAGATTCTTAAATAGATAACACAAAACAAGAAAAAAAAAATTAGAAGAAATTAAACAATAGAACCACACATTAAAGAGTCAAATTATAAAATGTCCAGAATCTTAAACAGGAATAAACTATTCAAAATGATAAGTTCATTAATGAAAAATGATTCATAGGCCAATGCAGGTTATCAACGTTCAAGTCTAAACAAAAAATTTAACTAGAGTTAAATAACTAAAAAAAAAATTGAAGGGGGGTGTTGGCGCCCGAAGGCAAATGCGTTTTAGAATACAAAAAAAAAAAATTAGAAGAAATTAAACTATAGGACCACACATGAAAGAGTTCAAACTAAAATGTCCAGAAATTTAAATTTATCTTAAATCTTAAATAATTATTCATTTTAATCTACAAATTCATTAAGATCATTAGATATACACACGAAATGTATGACCTGGATAAAGTTGACTAATGCATTCAAGTTCGACATGACCAGCATAGTACTCGCCATCTATGCTCATCAAATGTTTAAAATAAGTGTAAACATAGGTGCGTATATAATGTATTTAAAATATAAATATTAATAATTGTTTTAAATACCTACAACCTAAGGTGTTCCAAGGTGTACAGTGCATTGTATAATAGTTATGCAAAAAAGGTAGGTACCCATAAGTATCAAACTTAGAGCGGTGTACTGTTTGGGCTCACGTATTTTATACATTGCGCTTTAAAAGTGATAATTTGAAGACAATTTCTTAAAACCACTAAAATATTTTTTAAATTATGTGTTATAATTCATATAGTGTAGCGCCTACGCAAATTTTTCAATTTTTATTTTCGGAAACATAGTGAAATCAACTTTTTAGAATGATTGAGCAAAAATAATTCTGACACCCACCCATGGTGGTTTTACATAACAAGTCGATGGATGTTTTTGATGATAATTGACCGAGCGATCGCAGCCAGGTACGTCCGGTATATATGAAAATACCCAAAATTTAAATTACCTATAACTTTCAAATAAGTCTGACCACCAAATTCAGACTTCAATGTAATTTTCAATTAAAAACTGTTAACTATCTTTCTTCGTATAATAAATAAACAACGGTTAATCATAGGAAAAAAACTGTTACTACTTTATTACACAATTAAATTGCTAAATACTTATTACACCAAAAAAACACACTTCGGTTACGGCTTTCAGGACGACACATTCCGCCCCAGGTCTCCAACCGTACTGATCACAGTGTACAATTATGATACACCCTGGTGTCTACTGCACCCATATCTCTGGTGGGGCTTATCTTTTGAATATAACACATATTGACACAACACCGCAACGTCTGTGTTAACACCCGTCCATTCTGACAATATCTATGTCCCCATAGAATTAGCTTTTAACACAAAAATTATATATAAATCATTTTTACAAAAATTTTAACAATATAAATCTAATAACTTTACAAAAACAAAACAAAAATACACAACTGTGATGTAATGACCCTGAGTTCACAACCAATCACACGTGTGCCTATCACATAATAAACATTTAAGTACACAGTAATACAAATAATAATTCATATTATCTTTCTTTTTTTTTTTCATTGCGAGTCATAGTCCTGGAGTCTTACAGGCTTCCTCCTTACTCGTCCAGACCTCCTCACATCTGTTGGCTCCTCCTCGTTATGTCCAGCTATTGTTCCAGCCTCGTCTGGTATGTCTTCAGCTTCCATTGACAGTTCTTCCTTCCCAATCTTCCATGATTTTAATTGAGACACATGCGCTGTAGTTGCAAAGCATCGTCTGGTATCCTCTGCAAGCTGCGCTACTCGGTAGATATCATTAGATAAAACCTCTGTTACTACCAAAGGCCCACGATAACGCTCTTGCAGCTTGGTGGATTCACCTGTTGACACTGGCACCCTGGTCATGACTACCACCTCACCCACAGTGTATTTGGTTTGGTTGTGCCTATGGTTGTCATAAGCTATCTTCATACGTTGTTTGGACCTGATAATTTCTTCTCTTGCTTCTTCCCAGAGCTGAGATGGGCAGACCCACTCTTCGCTAGTAGTTGAAAGGTCTCTTAATCGACCTAACTCAAACCGTGGTCTATACCCGTGCAGCATTTCAAATGGTGTTAACTTTGTCACCTTAGACTCACTGTTGTTGATCTGTTTTTGCACATCAGACAGTAACTCGTCCCACTGTCCTTCCTCAGCTCGAGAAATTAACATGGCTAGGATGGTGCTATTTATTCGCTCTACTTGTCCGTTAGCCTGCGGTCTCCGCGTTGAATTAAGTATGTGTGTGACTCCACGTGATTCACAGTAGTTTTCAAACCGATGAGATGTAAAACAAGAACCTCGATCAGTGATCAACTTCCTAGGTAGTCCAAACCTGTTTATGAACTCATCCATGACATACAACACTCCTTCCGTACTGGTATCCGTTACTGGAAACAAACAGACATATTTAGTAAGATTGTCTACTAATACCAAAATGTACCTGTTCCCTTCAGTACTCGTGACAAACGGCCCTACATGGTCTGCATGAACAACTTCAAACGGCCTTCGTCCTGGTGGTATGGGATGCAGCAGACCAGGTTGTCGTCCTCTTGGTTTCTTTGTCATCAGACATTCCATACACATCCGAATGTGAAGTTTGACATAACGGCGTAGTCCCACAAACCAGAAGTCTTGAGTTATTTTACATACCGTTTTGTCGACAGACAGATGCCCTCCCAAGTCATGCGCTGACACCACAATGCTCTTGCGCATGCTCCTGGGCATTACAAACAGTAGTCGGCCTTGGTACCATCTATACAGCAAGCTTCCTTCCAGACTGTATTCACACACCAGTCCCTTTTCGGCTTTCGTTCTCTGCTCTTCAGGTTTTTGTAATATGTTGCATATCCGGCGCAACTCCCCGTCTTCATGCTGAGCCATCCGCACCTTGTCTTCTGTCTTCAATGAAACGCACACATCCAACCGACCAGCCAATACTTCGTCTAGGGTCTCGCCTTCCTGTTCAGAAACCGGATCACGCGACAGTGCGTCAACATGCAACATTTTTGTTCCTGGACGATGGTATATGTCAAAATCATATTCTTGAAGTATGTCGTACCATCGCATCACTTGTGGCTTTGTAGCCCTATGTCCTCTCAAGTAAACTAGCGCCTGACAATCAGTCACGACCGAGAACCTAACACCCAGCAAAAAGTGTCGCCATCTATCCACTGCCCACACTATACTCATTAGCTCTAACTTGCTCGAGTGATAGTGCGACTCTGCAGTGCCCAACTTCTTACTTATGCAATATACTATTTGTAGTGGTGACCCTTTTTCTTTGCCTTGCAGTAGCATTGCCCCGAGCCCCACGGAACTTGCATCTGTATGGACCTCGGTGACCTCTGCTTTTGGGTCAAACATACAAAATACGGGTTTATCAGCAAACACTCTCTTCATTTCATTGAATGCACTTTCTTGCATAGTTGACCACTGGAACTCTACGTCCTTTTTTGTCAGCCTCGATAGAGGTTCCGCCAGGGTAGCATAATTCTGAACAAAACGTCTGAAAAATCCAGTGAGGCCCAGAAATCTACGCACCCCGTGGACATCTTTTGGAACCGGGAACTTTTCAATGGCTTCACTCTTATTTGTACCTGGACTGATCTGACCTCCACCTATGACAAATCCCAAAAACTCAATTCTCTTTGCCCCAAATGAACACTTAGATGGCTTTAGTGTAAGATTTGCGATTCTCAATTTGTCTAGGACCATTCTTACTTTCACCAGCATATCCGACCAGTTTTCAGCATCTACCACCCAGTCGTCCAAATAGTTTTTGACTACTCTGTCCTTGAGACTGCCCAGCACCTTCCTCATCAGCCGTGTGAACTCTCCGGGGGCTCCCGCCAACCCGAAAGGCATTCTTGTAAATTGGCCAGTGTCATCAGGCGTGATGAAGGCCGTCTTTTCTTGAGCAGCTTCAGACAGGGGCACTTGCAGATAACCGCTCGCTAGGTCCAACTGCGTAAAATAACGTCCCGCCCTCAGTGACTCAACTTGTTCCTGCAGATCAGGTAATGGAAAATTGTGTCTTATTATCTGCTTGTTTAGCTTCCTGTAATCCACACATAATCTGTTTTTATCGCCTTGCTTCACCAAGATCACTGGACTAGCATAAGGCGAGTCAGTCTCCACCACTACACCATGTCGTTTCCATTCCCCGATTATTTCAGCTATAGCTTCTCGATCGGCAGCTGTGGTTTTGTAGGGTCGGCTAGTCACGGGTGCACTCCGTTCAGTCTCGTTAATATCCATCGTCATCATTGTCGTGCATCCCAACTCCTCAATGCCCAGAGCAAAACAATCGCGATACTCGTTTATCAACGACAGCAGCTCTGTCTGCTCTTCAATGGATACATCGGCGTTAACATACTTGAAATCCTCCGTCCTTAGATCTCTACGTCTATGACCTGGAAGTGATAGCACTTGTAGTATGTCCATTTCATTATCCGTGGTTACGACCGATACATCTCCCAGTCCTATATCATCCTTTGATTTGCACAGAACGAGCTTTCCCTCTTCTTTCTTGTAAGTAACCTCATCTAGGTCTAACCAGTTGCGACCAATAATCATGTCGTACCGCTGTACGTTATCAGGTACTACCAATACCTTGACCGGACCAGCCTCGACATTATCTACCGTAATCTTGGTGTTCACCTTCCCGACAGCACTCACTGACGGCACTGAGACACTGCCTAGTCCGTATAACGATTTCTTGGTTCTCCTTAACTCTAACTCGCATCGGGATGCCATACCGAATCTCATCAAGGTATAATAGCTTCCCGTGTCTAGTAGTACTGTCATATCGATGCCGTTAACCTTTCCACGCTTGAGGTAGGGGTTTGTTGTTTCTTTCATCATCATCACATTATTGACAGTTGGTCGTGACGTGCAGTCACGAGCGAAATGTCCTTCAGCTCCACAAGCAAAGCACTTACTCTTTTTTTTCCACCTACAGTCTCTTGCCCAATGACCAACCTTTCGGCAGACATAACACTTGCTTTTGTCCGTTTCCGCCATTTCGTCTGCATCAGTACTAGATTTGTCATTCACTTCAGGTTTTGGTGTCTTCGTGACCCACTTTCCCGTCGAACCAGAAACGTGACTTCCAGACTCTGAGCCACCTTTTGCGCTCACCTTTGCAGTTGGACGGTTCTTTTGCTCCTTTTCGTGCCTGGTCTCCGTACGTTTTGCGTTCATACGAGTCCAATCCAACAGATCACTCATCAGCCCTTCTTCATCAACGTGATTCTTACCCAGCACGTACATGGCTAATTCTTTGTGGTAGATCCCTTGAATGATGTAATCACGTGTTTCGTCGAACGATAAGGACAGCCCACGGCATAACCGTGCCTTCTCTTGGAAATAAACCATGATGTGTTCATCGGAAATTTGACGTCTTTTCTGCATGGCTTCCCACTTATCAGCTGTTCGTAGTTGTCGAACAAATACGCTTCGAAATTTTTGTACAAAGTCGTCCCAATCCTTAAAATCGCGTCCGATGAACCAGCTGCGCGCGGCTCCCGTAATATACGATCGTACAAATTGCATGCGAAATGCCAAAGGCCAACAATTCAAATTCGCCATACCTTCAACCGTCTGTATCCAGTCATCCGCTTCGTGCACTGGCTCACAACCATCGAAAACCTTGATTGATTTATTCAAATCCGGCAGCACTCTATATTCGCAAACGTCCGAACGCGGCGTGTTGACGACCGCGGTCGTCGGCGGACCTTGGCTCCCATCGCGTCCCGAAACAACTTCTGATTCTAACTGTTTAATCTTCTTTTGTAATTCGGCGACCGTTTTATACAGCTCGACGTAAGTAGGGGCTTGTAAATCACCGCTCGTCGCCATCTTATAATCACCACCTCCGTTAACGTGGTCGTGAAACAATAACAACCGTTATCACCGTCACCAATCAACAACCCGTTATCAGTGTTATCACGTGAACACTAACAACCGTTACCGCAGTAATCAACGCGGTGCTCGACGATTTTCACGGCACGTCACCTTGTTCCAAACGACACTGATTCCACTAACCTTACTTTTCCAGCAACCCACGTTTTGTTCCAATTGTGTAAAACAAAACCGTTTTACTTCTCGTTTCGACTTTCTGCAATTCCCTCGCGTTACTCTCTTCGCACCCTTCCGCTGGTGAGTAATCGAGACGACGAAACGCAGATTCCGAAAACCACGAGTCTTCACCCGTTACCACCACGCCTTCGCTCACGATCCGCTTTGTGAACTGGGGCCGATACTTGTTTGTATCCCACTTCTGATTCTTGTTAACTATCTTTCTTCGTATAATAAATAAACAACGGTTAATCATAGGAAAAAAACTGTTACTACTTTATTACACAATTAAATTGCTAAATACTTATTACACCAAAAAAACACACTTCGGTTACGGCTTTCAGGACGACACATTCCGCCCCAGGTCTCCAACCGTACTGATCACAGTGTACAATTATGATACACCCTGGTGTCTACTGCACCCATATCTCTGGTGGGGCTTATCTTTTGAATATAACACATATTGACACAACACCGCAACGTCTGTGTTAACAAAACTAATGATTTCCGGCAATTAATTTTTGCAATATCGTTCTTTTCTTAATTCGTTGTAACTTGTACTATCGCGATGGAGTGTTGTCCGACGATTTAATTTATTGGTTAAAACCGGTTTCTTTTTAGGCGTAAATGACGTTATCACTGGAAGTAAAAAGAGTGTTTCAATTTGCCGTTCTTCGTGGTAATTCATTTTGATCGGGACCAAGAAGATAATGTGAAAATTCATAGACGCGCCAGCAAAATCTGACTTTGTTAGTATTTAGGTTTTAGAACTAAAATTTACTTTTGAAATTAAATATACTACAATAAATTGTGCACGACAACATTTTTAGAAAAATTAAATAGTAAGTATGAAATATTATTTTATCGATCTTTAATGACTATGTAATGATTTTACAGCTAACAACAACTTCTTAGGTCTCGCAAACTTAACCTCACTTCGATAATTGGTCGCTCATCTGTAGTGGATAAGCCAAAATCTACCCCACCTCGCTGTCTGCAGATCAAGACCTATAAATTTGTCAATTCGAAAGAGGTGTTTACTAAATATTATTTGCTATATAAAATAACACGGTCTACATTTTATACTGGCAACTATAGATGCCTGTAAACAAAATGAAGACTTTTTTTCCATTTTAAATCGACGACACGACTCCGTGGGATCCCCTTATGCATTAATTCCGCGGTTTTAGCTATAACTAAAACGGATTACTAGAATTTCACACACCTACTAAACCACGCATAGGGTTAAATAATATTTCAAATTAATAAAGATATGATTATCGGATATCAACTCGTTCCAAGTATTTGACACCCTCACAAACAAAAAACTCTGTTGTAGCTGAATTGCCTATACAATGCGCCGTTATATACCTAAGTACATTAAATTTACAGTACCTACCATAATACCAACTAGATTTGTAAAATTCCAAGTGTATTAAGCATCGCGCTGAATCAGATTAGGATCTTTAAAAACATATATACATCATGCAGAAAGGTCTTGGCTCCGCCCCCCGCACTGAAACGTACTAGGATCGGGAAATACGCCTACAGTTTCCAGTTTCTACTACAACATTACGTTATATTATGTTTTTAATTATTAAAATGCCTAAAAAGTAAACGTAAATCCCAAAATAATATGAAAACAAACTTACGCTGAAACATCGACTCTTCCGGTGAAACCTAGCTAGAGTGCATCAACAATGCAAACGTCCAGTACCATACGAAGAAACAGCTATCTTCATCCGTCTTCATCTCGTTCCAAACTGTAACTTGAAACTATCGAAATATTTCATGAAAATTACCTGAATATAACGAAATGTGCGAATTCGTGTTAAAACTTACATTATAATATATACTGCTTAACGAACTATCTGTATATATTGATGGCTTATTATTTTTTTTTTTCACTAAAATTATTAGAATTGTTAATAGTCGCAGACGAATATCGACAATTGGCGATTGCCATAGATGAAGATGATATAAAATATATTATTTAATATGATAAATCCATAGAACTTCTACACTCAACACACATACATGGTCTATTGATACACAGTGTGTTCTTTTACAGAAATCTTTGTGGTCTGCAATGTATTCTTGTTTTCTATTTCAGTTATTTATCGCATACTAAATTTTACCAAACTAATTAGTCCACAAGTTTATAGACATCACAAATATATACTATAAATAGAGTATATTATTATAATTTATGTACACGAATACACTATGACACTTTTAAATGTAATTTTTTGGGCAAAAATGACTATAACTTACTGCTGTACTAATGCTTAATAATCTGTAGTCAATGTTGTTATGATCATAACAAATTATTCCACTCAAACTTAAAATATTTTATGTTTTATTATTTTATATAGCGAAATATAATTTATTTTTAGATTCTGAGCGGAGCGATGAATGTATTGGTTTTACAATGATGTATGTTTTTTTTATATTTTTATTTATATTTTTGTGTCTGTCATCACGTTTTATTACAGTAAAAGTGCTTGGATTTTCTTCATCAGTAGCTTTTCTGGTAGGAAAGTGAATCTAGTTGGTACTTTGGGGGGGTCAAAAGTATAAATTTCCCAGTAGTTTTCACAAGCGCCGGGAAAAACAACATAAAAATTAAGGAAAAACGGGAATTTTTACGCAAAATTGGTTTTCCAAAAAATCAATTTTGGTTATTGGTGTAACTCTAAAACAAATGAACGTATATACATGAAATTTTTACTGGTTGTTTATATTTGCATTTTCTATACACGATAACATTTTCAAAATATTTTGATTTATTTTGAACTGTTTAGGGACATTTTCATTTTCCATTTTTTTTTAGTTTTTTTTCTAAAAATATCAATAAAATTTTATTTATTGGTTGCGAAAGCTTGAAAATTTAATAGAAGGCTCCTAATATGTTGTTTCAAAGGCAGATGAAAAATAATAAAAATCCTTAGTCACAATTTTTTTTTATAAGCATTTAAAGTTCAAAAATTGACAAAATATGGAAAAATCACGAAAATTAGCAAATTATTTTGAGTTAAGAATTCGTAAAAATTTTTCTTTTTAAATCTAAGATTTGAAAATGAAACACAAGATTCCTTATAAGATTATCTACCTTTATCAATAAAAAAATCTCTACCGGACAGTCAAATTAAATTTTTATGAGCATTTGAAATTCAAATTTTTACAACATTGGATTTTCACTCGATTACTCGTGTAGCGATTTCCTTATTTTGTTGCAATTCAAAAACGAACAACTGTAGATACATGAAAATTTCACTGAATGTTTCTGAAAATTGGAAAATGAAATTTTCTATACACCATACAATTTTGAAAATATTTTGACTCTTTTTGAGCTGTTTAATGTCCATACATTTACAGCTTTCAATTTTTTTTAGTTTTTTTTTCTATAAATATCAATAAAGTTTTATCTGTTGGGTCAAAAAGTGTAAAAATTGAATACAAGGCTCCTGATATATTGTTATAATAGCAGTTGAAAAATATTAAAAATACATAGGCACAGTTTTTTTTTATAACCATTTAAAGATCAAATTTTGACAAAATTTATCAAAATCTCGAAAATTATCAACCATTGTAATTAATAAATTATAAAATGTTCAGTTTTTATAGCTAAGGATTACAAATTCAACACAAAGGTTCTCATAAATAGTTCATACTATAACCAAAAAATCTAAAAAATATATGAACACACTTATTTTTTACAGACATTTTAAATTCAAATTTGGACGAAATTACATATTAAAAAACCTAGAATAACTATTTTAGTTATTTTGTTGTGATTGAATAATATTATTCGTGGGTACTTGAAACTTCTAAAGTGTACTATTATATATATAATTATATATATATGTACTGATATATATCTATGATAGTATCACGGTTTTTGTTGATGTATAACGCGTTATAAGTATCTAATGGATATTGTGATATGATTAATTTGGAATTTATAATAGGTACCTATTATAGGTCAATTTTTTGTTTAATACCATAGATGTATATAATATGTCTTATACATAGACTGACATACCGTCACCGCTCAGAATCGTTTTTCTTATACAATGATATTATATCGTTGAATTCAAATTTAATATCATCCATTATACAGTGACCCACTTGTAACCTACTGTACAGCAGAGCGACACCCACTTGCCCACCTTTTTTTCTCATATATTTTAGAAAAAATGAAAGTAAAATTAAGCCCCAAAAGAATATGAAAAAAAACTTACTTTAATAGTTTAATTATCGACTCTTTCGGCGGAATCCGTTAAGTGTGAGAACTGTGACGCCGATGATGAAACGCTTCAGAGAATACAGAACTTAAAATATTGTGATTTATGAAAAATAAATTATACGGGACGCAGTAAGTTTTTTACTCATATCTGCTTTGCTTATTGAAATTTTAGAATTTTTAATCGACTGTAGTGTCGTCTGCAACGACTTTGAGATTTGCCATAGAATATAAATGATAGATATTATATTATACTAGGTATCAAAATAGTTAATGATTTTGAATATTTTAAATTATAATAGTATGATATTGATATGGGTATTATTTGAATTACTATTTTTGTTTATTAATTTAACTATTGATTAAGATGGTGAATAGATATCTGCAGAAGTATAAGTATATTTTTATAAAAGCTTATTGTATTTTATGAATCATTAAATAAAAATGTGATTACTGGATTTTAGGTAACATAAAGGTATACTCAATAAATTCATCAAATTTACAGTATCGACTATAATACCAACTACCTAGATTCTAAAATTCCAAGTCTATCATTTTCTCCGAATACTTCTGAATAAGAAATTATAATAATAATGATATATGTTAATTTTAAATTTATCGGATATATTTTAGATTTTAGATTCTGAGCGGATCGATGACTGAATTAATTTTACAACGATGTGTTCTTCAATTTTTAAATTTTTAAAATGATTTTTTCTTGTGGTCTGTGTGAACGATTAATATTCATAATAAGGAATCAATTTTCATATATAATATTATATTATAGGCACTCAGAATGTAATCATATATTTATTTTTAGTTTAGTTGTAGGTATTTAGTAAATAATAATAGGTACCTACTATTGATTATAAATACTAGAATTTATTTTTTAATGGTAAAATGGCCAATAACTATTAATTTAATTAATAGTTATTGGCTATTTCTAATGTTATCACATAGTACACACTGCAAGCTACGACACACTAGAAAGTCATCTTTCTTATATTTGTACAATATATTTTTATACTTAGGATTACGATTATCCACCAATTTTGGGGGTACACCCACCCCTTATATGCGGCTGCCACACCTAATACATGGGTTCGACTGGAATTGATGATATGGAAACGACGTAAAAAAGTGTTTTTTTTTTTAAATGACTATACTCAACGGACAACGACAGTTAGGTTAGGTTACCTATGGTAAGACGACGTTATTTTATTCTACGGAACTACGGAAGTGGTGTGTCGTTACAAAAGTATCTGTCAGGACTCAGGAGCTCTGAGAATATAATATATGGAGTCCCGGCCCTCGACACACACACATACACACTGAAGGGCAGTGGTAGTGTGGTACCTACCGAAGGTTTTTTAGAGAATATTAGCATCATATTTTAGGTGTTTTAAGAGAATATAAATCCGGTCTTCAGTTATAACTAAGAAACGACATTTTCTGTTTTCACCACATATAAATGAGAACTTAGTCTGTGCAATATCGTTTTTATTTTTATGATACCTATCACTTATACGAAAAAAGTTCTTATTGTTTCAAAATCTATTTTTATTTGTGTTTTTCAAACTTTAATAACTTTTTTTGAAGTTCCGAAAACGAACAAATAAAAACGGGATTGCACAGCCAAAGTTCTCCTTTTTATGTGGTGAAAATTTTGTTTCTTAGTTATGACTGTAACGTTCTTGGTATTTTTCCTCTCAAAACATTTTTTTGCTATGTTGTACATTTTTAAGACGGAGAGACACAATATGCATGACGTGCATTGGTGCAACGTCCACGGATATCATGTCTTTTCTGAATGCTGATAACATAACACGAGGCGGTATCGCAATTCGCAATGCTGTTGGAAGTAGTTGTAGATAGTACTATTATTGTGTACTCACAGATATACAAATATTGCGTGTGTACCACAACTACTTCTAGTATATTTAACTACTTACTACTCCGTAATCCACGATTTACACCAAGACAAAATAAACTATAAATAAATACTAAATAAATTACAATATTGTTACTAATAAATGTTGTCATGATTTACCCTATATCGATGAACTCTACAGTCTACAGCTGTGTGTCGTACTGTTAGTCATACTCATAAGTCATTCCGTAGATAACATTCTAAAATTTCTAATACCTCTTACATATTTTAATTATAATCATGCATTATTTATTAATTTATTATGTTTAACCATCGTTTTTTGTGTAGTCTGGTATTCAATATTTCAATCGTCATTCACGAACCAAAGACGAGCTAACATAAAATAATATCAAAACTTAAACTACCAAGTTTCGCTAAGTTGCAAGTAGCTGCCAATGCTACTTATGTCTTCTTTTATCCAGTAATTTCGTAAAAAGAACCTAATTGGCAAATTAATAACTTCGTAATTTAAAAAAAACAGAATAAAATAAAATGAGTCCTAAAATATTTGTTAACATCTTGACTTCTCCAAAGTCTTTGTAAGTATTATACAGATATTTTTAATAATTTATTTAAGTATCTAACAGTTGGCTAAAATAAACCTGCTACCTTAATGGTTATTAGTTGTGCTAAAGCCTAAAATATATTTGTCTATTTTATTCTGAGCAAAAGATTGCAATACTGATATGTATATAATTACAATAATTATATGTTACCCGATCAGCTTTTCTAGTGAATATATTTTGTTCTAGTTCTCAGAAGTGAGAACTGGGAACATAACATTTTTGTAAAAAAATTTTTCTTGTCAAGTAACAAAATATTTGATTAAAAAAAAAAATTGGCCATGGCTAAATAATATTCCAAAAGTCCATATTCAAATTCTTGTGTTTATACCCTGGTAGGCGGCTGGTACACTACTAACTATAAATTATAACAAATTTCCTTACTTAGAGCTGTTTTTAATTTATCTTTAAGCCTTCATGTATTTTATGAGATTAATGAACTAATACACCTTTTCTATGCTTATTAATTATTAGTTACTACCATCATTATAGTAGGTATTATTAGTAGATAACAATGAAACATAATATGATTAATAACTAAAATTTATTGATAATAAACTAATTAGAGAAATAAAGAATGATACTTAGGTAATAAATTATTATTTATTATTATACAATAAATTAAAATGTTGAAAATAATTATCTTAGGATTACTTTTATATAACTCACTTTTAGTCACATTAACAATAATCGGAAATAAGTATTATTTTCTTCTCTCTTAATTAAAGAACTAATTTTTTATTATTGAGTAAAGCTGGGGAGACAATAAAAATTTGACTTCATAATAAATAATGTGCTATTAAGATTCTAAATTGAGTTAGAGAATTACTACCTATTAATTTAACTGTAAATGATAGCAGATAGACAAATTTAACTTTAGATGGACACATTATCAAACATCACTGTAAATCTGTGTCGAGACCAAGAAACATGTTTCCGATAATGTAATTTACACTCAATTGTATTACTGTTTATGATGATAAATCAGAAACATAGTCGGTAACCAAATATGTATCCCTGTTCTGGACACAGCTTAATAGCACAACAAAAAATTACAAAAAACTAATGAAAAAATTATGAAATGTGTTTAAGTATTGATTTTTAAAATGTTAACAGTATAAAGACTTGATAGAAATTGGTAAAAATCATAAAGTTTTACCATAAAATATATATTATCGTTAAGCAAAGCCCAAGAAGGATGGGTGACCGCCACATTCCCCCCATAAATCCACCCTTGTCAGCAATACACATACGTGACAAACAACAATTAATACTAATAAATTTATTAATTTATATAAATAACATACTATACCTATAGATTATATTAATTTTTAGATTTAAAACACAAATAACACATGGAATATATGTTCAGCAAATATACAAACGCTGGAAGAATGAATCACATCTGCCGCCAAAAGACTTTAGTAATTTACAGACTATGCAAGACAGTAATTATTAATATATACTATATTATTTGAAGTACTTATTTCATTGTTGTTAGTCTAAACTATATTATAATGTTGTTAAGTTAAACTAAAATTATCCAATATAATGGGTATATCTGGAAAATATGAAAATGAAGAAAGGGGATGGTTATCTGAGTATCTGCCGAAAAAACAAAATGATCTACCACCTCGGTCTATGAATGTAAGTTCATAAGTTATTAAAATGCATTTATAATTTTAAAGTAATCCATTTGACATTTTAAGTGCAATTATGATTTCATAAAGTAATAACAAATTATGTAGGTAGTATGTTTTAAATTATATTTGTAGGACAGTTTTGATAGAGCTATAGTTCCCTTGAGCACTGATTTGACATTGCAAAATAAGTACACTACAACATTCAAAAGCTTACGAATTGGACGCCTATTAGAAGATATGGATCTTTTTGCTGGTAAAAAAAAAAAAATAAATAAAATGTTTAAAAATAATTAATAATATATTATATATTATATTATAATAATATATTCATAATTTTAGTTTGGATTGTTATGAAGCACATTTATAATCCAATGCAACCACCGGATGTTCCAACACCATACGTTGTTGTAACATTACTAGTAGACGATGTTGTCATAAATGCTAATCGATTTGTAAGCTAATATTTTGATACTTAAAATTAAATAAAAATAATAATAATCAAGATTTTTATTTCAGCCAGATAAAGATTTAATTCTAACCGGTCAAGTAACTCATGTTGGAAAAACTTCATTAGAGGTTACTTTGTGGCTTGAACAATGTAATGATGATAAATTTGAGCGTATTACGAGAGCTCATTTTGTGTTTGTTGCTAGAGATCCAACAAATACATCATCCGTCATGGTAAACAATTTAGAACCAGTTGGAGAACGCGAAAAAAATCTAATGATTCTTTCTGCAAGTAAATATTAAACTAAACATTTTTAAACACAAAAACATTTCATTAGTAGCAAATATAGACAAAATTAATTAAATTTGTGATTTAGAAAAAAATGAGGATAGAAAATTGGCTCGCCAAAACTCAATATTGAATAAAATGCCAACACCTGAAGAACAATCACTTATATATGAAACATTTATGAAAACAGTTGATAGAAAAGAGCCAATAATTGGTAATAAAATATTACCAGAAAATAGTGTGTGGATGGATGATACGATGCTTGAGACTAACATTCTTTGCCATCCTGAAGTATATTATAACATAATAAATAATATAATACTGTTTTGCCGTTATTTATACCAAGTTTTAATATTATTTTAGGATCGAAACTTACATAATACTGTTTTTGGTGGTTATTTGATGCGTGTTGCTACTGAACTTGCATTTTTAGTAGCAAGTGCACACAGCAAAACAAGAGTGACATTAGAAGCAATTAATAGTATTACTTTTCGAAAACCAGTTCCAATTGGTAGCAAATTGAAGTTAAATGGACAGGTAAAACATAAATTTGTATGAATCAAATATTTAAGTTAAAATAACCTTTATATTTTTCTTATTCATTCATTAGATATGTTACACCAGCGGTAGAGTAATGATAGTAGAAATTATAGCCAAAGTTGAAGAACTTGAAAGTAAAAAAAGTTTAACTTCTAACTCATTTTACCATGTATATGTTGCTCCAAATGATGTTGATTCAGTATTACCTCAGAATTATCATGGTAAAAATAATAAATTATGTACTTCATTAGACTAATAAAATAAACTTATTTTTTAGATTCTATGCTCTACATTGATGGGCGTAGAAGGTACTTGGATTTTGTCAACCACTTAGAAAAGGGACAACCAGGGGATAACTAAGATTATGGGAATGGGGTTTATAATATTTTGAAGGAGTTAAATAACACATTCTAATAAACTAATTTTCTAACTTTTATAATAAGAAATTTTTAAACTAAATTGGTGTTGGTAAACAGTCTTTATTCAATACCAAATGAAGTTTCAATAAAAAAAAACAGTTTTATTTTGTATAAAAAGTTACCTCTTTAATTTTAAAAACTTAACATTTTTATTTGTTGCATTTTTTAGTTTATAATTTGTTAACTAATAATAGTACTTTATAACTATTTACTAAATAACTTTTTTACTATTATATCATTCCTAGTATTAAAAATATTTGTATGCATTTTGTGTTAAACTAATAATAGAGTCATGCGGAATTCATAGCATAAGCTTTAGCTGCCAATTTATAGCAAGTCGGAATCATTCAAAATCTAGTAATTTTGTAGAGTAAAAATGTTGTATGTTTTATTTCTATTTAAAATAGTCTATACATACATAAAAATATTATAAGATCAATAATCATAATCATATGTACAACCTGAACGGTCTATGCGGTGATACTACCTTCGTCCGAAATTGATAATAGTAGGTAACTTACATATCAACTGTTCTGATGAAAATTACCTGTTAGTTATTACCAGAAGTTAGTTGTGTCCTTGCATGTTGGATGCAATTCACATACCATAATATTAGAAATTCTTATCAAGAATCTAACGGGACGCAAGTAACATGCAGCCTGTTCAAGTACATTATTCAACTGTTGAATATGTAAATGATAGAAGCTTATGCTGTGAATCCGGCATCATCATAAATACAAACATAAGTTAACTAATTACAATTGTTAATCTATTAATAATTATCATCATCACTAGATGATATATCTGAATAATGGTCTAATTGATCTAACCACCATTCATGTATTTCTTTCACTGCATTTATAACTTTAGGGGTACTTGATCTTTGTTCTCTTGAAGAAGTCGACACATTTAAATTAGACATATTTAATGGTTTTAAGTTCCTGTATGAAGCTTTACGATTTTTTTCTTTATCCGAAGGATCTGATAAGGTTGGTGTCAAAAATTTGCGTCCAGATCCACTGCCAACACTATCTGAACGTGTAATTCCCGAAGTTGATTTGAGCTTTGTTCGATTTGTATCAGACTGAAATCAAGCAATAATAAAACATGAACTGTTTAAAATTCTCTGTAATAACATACTTTTAAATCTTTTTCTTCATTTTCTTTTTCATTGTTGGCAGCTTGTTTCTCTTCAAAATCCCTAAGCATCATTTCATTCGTTGCACGAAGCCCAGCTAATAGACTACCTTGTTGCCTCTATAAAAATGTTAATCTTAATAATTGTATCTTTAGAAATTTAGCATTTACATTTACATTAGCTGCTCTCATTTTCCGTAAACACCCTTCAAGCCAATTACGTATGGTTTGTTTAGCAACTTCTTCTTGAATATTTACTTCAAAATCTTCACGTGCGACTAACTCTTCAAGTTGTAAAGCTTTTGTTATATCAACCGTGCGATATGATAACATACTATGTACAAATAAATAAATAATAAATAAACGTTGAATGCAATTTAAAGTATTTTAAAATTACTTTAAAACATCATGAAATGTTACTTCTTGTCCATTGTGAAGCCTTTCTAATTCATAGCACATGTGTTTCAATAACATTTTTCCTTTTTGTGGATCAGTTTCTAATCTACCTTTCAATAGGCGTAATAAAAACTTCACCTATGAACATTTTAAATAATTTGTGATTGAAATTAAAAACATTAGCAAGCAGTTGTCAGTCTCAGAAATATATTAGTTTTTATAAAAATGTAACCAATAGTTTAAAAAAATAATTACATAAAAGTAAATTTCTGTGGAAAACATTATTTATTTTTATAAGATGTTATTTTCAGTTAGCAGATACTTAGCGTTACTTAAGTTACGGATGTGATGTGTGCTATCTAAAAATGTATAAAAGTAATAATTATTTTCTATCAAACCCACTTTGTAAACTTGAATGACTCCAGCTTGTGTGTCGTCAACAATGTTCCACGAGTGTTGGAAATTCCTAATATCTGCATATGAAAGTAAAGCATCCTCCTCGTTGGAATAAAATAGGGAGAAATTTTCCATTATAATTGCTGCAAAAGTAAATTAGTTTTTTGTTTCATACTGGTCACTTGGGTTGTCTTATTAAAATTGTAATAACAAATAAATTACCAACTAATAGGTTAAGTACAATGTATGTGATCATCACGTAAAACGAACAGAAATAAATTAAAGCAGCTGCATAGTTTCCACAGTCTGTTTGCCAATAATTATTTGCGGGTGTACATTGTGGTGGTAATATCATACAGTCATGCATGATTTTGTTCCAATCTTCTCCAGTAACAATGCGAAATAGCATAGCTACTCCAGTAACTGGAGAACCAAAATTTGCAAGTCTATAAAAATAAAATAAAAATGTAAACGTAAAACCAAAAATATTCATAAAAATATCTCATATAATAATAATAATTATTAATTACCTGCCAATTCCTTCGCCATACTTTACAGTACCAAATAAAATAGTTCCAGCCAAGGCATATGAAAACACCAATAGAAACATACCAAATATAATGAAAAAGCTTTTACATACAGAAACTCCAACAGTCAACATGAGCATTTTAAGTGTTGCGTGTTTGCCTGTGATTGTAAAAAAGCGTAATACGACTACTATATAGCCAAATGAGAAAGATAATTCGTTCTGAAAATAAATAATTATTCAACAAAAATATAATTTAAAAATCAAAATAATATAGATGCATTCAAATATTTACATGGAATACAAAATGTGTAATTATCCAAATCACTCCAAGTACAGTGACTAAAAGATCATATCGATTCCGACGTGACTGCCAATAACCACGAGCAGTGAATGCAATCATTTTCATAATTACTTCAGCTACAAATATTAATGTTAGAAATGCACTAACCAGTGATAAAGGTTCAGTATGTTTGTCTACGGCCCGCCACTAAAACAATAATTGATAAATATATTGTATAACATCTACATTCAAATAGCTAATTACCGAAACACATAACAAACAACTGTTGATTAACACGATAACTGCAAAAAACCTCTTGAAATGAATTTTTTGCGTAATATCATATATAAATGCTCGGAACTTTCTACGATCTGGTCTGGGAGGTAAATGTAAAGGTTGAGCAATTTTCAGTCTTTTCTTCAAGTCACACCTGCAATTAATCAATTTTAAAATAACCTTTCAGTATATAAAGCTTTTTATAGATTACCATCGTCTTTGATCTACAGTAAGTAATGCAGTTCCTTTATTTTCAGAATAGTTGGCAATTACAACACCAACAAATAAAGTGAGTCCAATCATACATCCCAAGAATATAAATATATGAATGTATATGGCATGAATCTAATAAAACAGAAATAATTAATTTTACAATATTATAATATTATACATTTGTAACAATAAATAACATCATGCTTTCACACTAAATGAAAAATACAGAATTCAACCTCTTTTTCAGCAGAAAACAAATAATCATAAAAAGAAAAATGAAGCTAGGAAGCGCATATGAGAATCAAATAAAATCAAACCAAATAGGTATTGAATTTTTAAATCAAAAATTTAACAAATCTAGGTTCCCTTAGACTGTCATAGTAGCCAATAAATATCGGATAAATAATTATTCATAGCTGTAACATTAAAAGCTAATTGTCTTATTAGACACTAAAAATATTAAAAAAATTAAGGCTAAAAATATATCAGTAATATACAGTTCCAGCCATGCTTTGATTCTATTTTAGGGCTAAACCCCTAAGCTTTTTTGTAATGACAAGTTTCAAAGATGCATGCCCAATCATGGCAAACAAATTAAACATTACTGGTCCCAAAGCGCTGATCAGTATATCACGAACATCCAGCCAGCCTTTGAATGATAACACTTCAAACAGCGTCAGCATTGCGTAGCCTATATTATCGAAATTGAACCTCCTCGGGTTCGCCCTTCATTGTGAATACATAGTTCCTCAATTTTTTTTTTTTTCTTAGAATTTTATTAAAATGTACCCGTGGGTAACATATGGTTAACAGTTTCATATTTACCAAACTCTTGGCACCAAAATGGCAGGAAACGTTTCATTTGGTCCAGGTTGCATTTTCATTTTTGTTACATAAATTTGACGCATAAAAACTCCGGTACAAAGTGCACGGTCTTTAATAGTTGGATCATTACACCGAGCTAAACGACCACCAAAAATTTGAACACCATAACTGGCAAATACAAACATCAGAACAATCAATAGTACAGATACCTAAAAACAGATATTTATATATTTAATTCAAGTTGATTTAAATATAAATATTATTTTTACTAACCAATAAAATTTCTTTAAATCCACGACAAAGTTCATCAACTACTTTTCTCATATGTGGGACTAGTGAGAATATACGTAGTGGACGTACACATCGGCAAATCATTAGCAAATGAGCTGACGAATTTGTAGCTACATTGGTTGGCATCCAACATAAAAATACTAAACTTGTCTAAAATAAAACAAATTAAATATGATAAAATTATAAAACATAATTAAAATTTATAACAGTTATACAGGGAAGTTAATTACCACATAAACAAATATATCTAATATAGCAGCAACATCTTTCATATATGCTTTAGGTGTAAAAAAAACTCCATCGGCCAAGATTTTTAATGCTAATTCCATACTCATGAAGCAAACGAATACATATTCAGCTATTTGCAAAGCTGGAGTTTCCATTACACGATACAAGGGGGTTTCAAACATCATGGATATACAACTTAATGTGGTCACTAATATCATTAACCAATCCAAGTAAGTTACTAGTCCCAAAAAGTTACTGTAAATAATTGAAATGAAATTAATTACATATTTTATAAAATAACTATTTTTTTCTTTTTCAACCTGTGTCTCATAATTAACTAACGCCATAGACAACAAAATTAGTATTTGTA